CAAGTTCAAAGCAGCCGCTGCCCTCGGCCTGAGCCCCTACAAGCTCTCCTTGGATCCAAATACGTACTCAGATCTCAGGCTGTTGAACATAAATCAGCCTGCCACTACTCCTGCCCACTCGTGGCTTATTCCACGGCACAGGGGCAGCAAGAGAATGATGAAAACTATGTTGTTAATATTAAACTCAATCTTCACGTCCAGGCGTATGCTGGTCAATGTTTAACATCGCTCTCCAGAAAAGGGGGGTGCTGACTTGCAGGTGTGTAGCATTTGCCTATTTCCAGAATGTAAAGCCTTCATTTCAAGCCACCAACAGGATGTGACTGCCTGGACAGCAGGCTCCAGCATGTCTGGGACACAGCTGCTTCCCACATTCCTGACAGAATCCACTCTCCTGAAAGAGCCAGTTAGCTGCCTGTCCCCTCCAGGACCTGAGGCCAAACTCTGACAGCAAGAGTCAAACTGGCTGTCTCTCTGTCTGCCAGGAAGCACAGTTGAGTTGTTGGGCAGAGTGACAGGAAATCCCTCTCCCACTGGGGAGGGAAGGAGAGGGAACCGGAATCCCAAAGGCACCGGGAGCTCACCCCCTTCAAGTCTAGGAGCATCAGCATGTTGCATGGAGCCAGCAGCCTTAGCCAAGTGGTCAGAGAGGCCAGGAGTCCGGGCCTTGGTGTTCGCTGACACCCCTGGAAGCCACAGAAAGCCGCAGGGACTGGCACTGGCTCCGTGGAGGAGTAAGGCCGGGTGGGGCGGACAGGGCCCTGAGATCCCAGGTCCTGTGCTCTTCCCACTCCACTGTCCAGCGTCCTCCTCACCTTCAGGGTCACTGTCCTGGGCAGGACAGTGGGGAAGAGAGAGGGTGGAAGGTACATGGCAGCGGGGTCTGAGCCCTTCAGAAGGGCAGACTGGCATGCCCATCCGGGCCCACCCGGGCAGAGGGCTCCCCAAAAGCTTACGTGTTAGGACTTGGTCCCCAGAGCAGCCCTGCCGGGAGGGGGCTCTCTGGGGTGGGACAGGGTCATGGGACTTTGGCCTCATGAACGGATTAATGGATCCACAAGTGGATTAATGGATTAACAGGTTGTCAGGGAGTGGCTTGCTGGCTCCGAGGGAGCACAAGGTGCCCTCTGCCCTGCTGTCACCACCATGCTGGAGCTGTGGCAGGAGTAGCTTCAGGCTTACCAGAGTCTGGGATCACAAACAAACTCCATCTTTTCTTCACAAATTCAGGTGTAGCCATGGCAAACAGACTGAGACAACTGTCTATGGCAAGACTCAAAGGACTGATCAAAGATACCTCAGAGACAGGGATGTAGCTCAGTGGTGCTGCCGCCTGCCTCACAAGAGCAAGGTCCGGAGTTCGATCCCGGGTACCTATATTTACTAACAAAGTATACATAGAACTCTTTTTTAAAACATAAAAATAAATGGACATTCCAATATTTTCTTCCCACATCCCGGTAGTTCCTCCATGTTCCCGCTGGAGATGACAAAGTTGTCTTTCAGAAAGAAGGCAGCATGCGTTACATTTTTAACCAGTCTTTTGGGACTTGATTTCCGGGGCAAACCTTCCGGCTCACAGTGAGCTCCCACGGCCCTCGGGATGTGCGAGGGTGGGACACAACCCGTCCGGCATCGCCTGCTGCCCGAGGACGCACATTCCCTTTCGGTCACGTCCAACCCAGCGCCCTGCCCCGCGAGGGCTCGCCGAGTCCCGAGTGCGCGGAGGTAAGCGAGAAGGACCCCTCGGTAGGGGGTCATGACTCTCCGATGTGTCCAGCAGCCCGCCTCAGGCTCAGCACTCAGCACCGAGCTCTGCATCCCTCCGCAGGGTCAGCAAGAGACTGCCGAGGCGAGTCAGGGCGTTCCGGGCACGCTACCCCCAGCAATCCTCAACCCTGACCTCTACTGCTTAGAAAGAGGGTGGGGCGAGCGAGCGGTGGGAAGAGGGCGACTGACGGAAGAGGCAGGAGAGAAAAAGAGAGCTTTCAAAGGTAAGCAGAATTTAAAGTCCCTGGGACCACAGGCCAAAGCCGGGAGACACGGTGGTGAGCCTTACAGGTCCAGAACGCAACGGACGAGGGCTCGGACCTACAGAGGCTCTGCCACAGATGCGGGCTGCCTTTAGAGCGGTTTGGGCTTCTCGGCAAAACGGAGCCGGGTGCAGGCAGTCCCCACGCGCCCGCTGCCTCCCGCCCACGCTTCCCTCCAGAGCGCGCTTTTGCGTGACCTTCGAATCCTCTCGCACCCGCGCGCCCAGATGGACAGTTCGCACGGGTTCGCTGCTGGCGAGACTCGGTCTGCAGTCGGGGCAGACGCCTAGCGACGCTCAGCCAGCGCTGCAGCCTCGCACAGCAGTTCCTGCCCTCGCAGCCCTTGCGCCCTGTCCGTCCCTGCCTCTGCCCACAGCGCTCCCTTCCCATCTTGCGCACGTTAGCTTTCCTTCTAGTCTCTTCTCCACCAGTCGAGCTGAGCCTCAGGCCCCGGGCCCGAGGCGCTGGGACAGGAGTGGCACAATCCGTGCAAGGGCCACACGGAGCACTGTCGAGCGGGGCAGGGGGCTCCCGGGAAGGGGCGGGTGCAGAGCCTAAACGACGCAGGGCGCCCCTGCTGGAGCCCTGAGCGGGAACAGCCCTCCCACTCTGGAAACAAGTGTTTCAGTTTTCCCCTCAGAACTTTTAAAGAAATGGATCTGGCGCCCTCCTTAATTTGCAGGTCTGCCTCCGCAGCTGTCTCCTGAGACAAGGCCCACGTGCTGTGCTTGGCCTGCGAACCCTTCCTCTGAGTTCAAAGGATCTATGTAGAAATCTAATACAAGACTTTGATTTCTCCTCAGTTCTACTCAGTTTAACAGAGAAAGAGAAACTATTTGAATGAAGTGAACAGAACCTCAGAAAGAGAGAGGAGAGGAAAGAAAGAGAAAGAAAGAAGAGAAAGGAAGGAAGAAAGACAAAGAAAGGAAGGAGAGAAAGAAAGACAAAAGAAAGGAAGGAAGGAAGACAGAAAGGAAGACAAAAAAAGAAAGGAAGGAAGGAAGAAAGACAAAAAAAGAAAGACAGACCAAAAAAAGGAAGGAAGAAAGATGAAAAAAGAAAGGAAGGAAGGAAGAAAGACAAAAAAAGAAA